GAAAAAGTTCAAGAAATATCAAATAATTTTATTAATTTACTTAAAGTTAAAATAATATTGAAAAGAGAATGACCATTTGATGAGATTGATATTAATGAATATTTAGGAATTATTATTACAGAAGATAACAAATATATTGTTAATCCAAGAACAAGTTCTGAATGTAAAATTAATCATAAAATATATGAAATAGAAAAAGTATTAAATTATAATGAAGAATATGAAGAATAATAATCAAAATGATAATTTGAATTTATTTTAATGATTTTATGGTTTATATTTCAATAATTTCAAATAAATGAAAATGAAAACATGAATAATTATAACTATTTTTATACATTATATTAATGTATAATTTGAATATATAATTAATAAATAATTAATACTTATTATATTTATAATGACATCAATTAAATATTATAAAATATTCATTTTTATTTTAATTAAAATGAATATAACAAATAAAATAAGATATTGTTATATTTAATATAAAACAATATTTATATTTTTATTTATCTTTATTCACTGTTTTATTTTATTAAACTAAATATTAAATTAAACCTTCTTCAATTAGAGAATTAATGTGATTATTCCAATTATCATCACTACCTTTATTATGTTTATTGATACTCCCTTTGAACATACTCCTTCAATGCATTTATTATTGATATAATCAAATTTGTATCCTGGATCACAATATGAAAGTACACATTTTGTACTCCATTCTCCATTATCTCCACATTCATATCCTCCATGTCCATGTTCTATATTAATTTCTTTATCACATTTTTCATCTCTTTTAACTAATCTTTTATTATTTGGATTACATTTTGTTTGATATTTCTCTATTATCTTCTTTGTTTCTTCTTCAAAAATATCAATTCTATCAGGGTAACTATAAATATTCACTCTTTCATCTATCATATCTGTTAAAAATTCTCTAGGAATACTTTCATCATATTCATAATTAAATCTGTATGATTCTAAAACAGTTAATCCAAATTTATAACCATATTGTGTAAATGGATTTTGAGGTTCAAGTTCAGTTATATTTGGGATGTTAGATGATGGTGATTGTCCTACTTCAAATTCATCATCTTCACCATATGGATCACCATCATATCCTACAAGAATAGCTCCTCCCCATTCTTTTAATCCTTTTGTTACTTCTGAACAAGCAGAATAACAAAATGAATCTGTATAAACTACTATGTCTGTTGGTTTTCTTGGATTTTTCATTAATTTCTTTGGGCTCCATTTATTTATTGATGGTTGTGTAATTTTATGTTCAACATCACCATATTTAATAATATTTGGTTTTGTATACCATTTTCCAAGTGGGAATTCAAATGGGATTATATCAAAAATGGAAATAGCTGTTTTAACTAGACTCCTTCTTCGTCTACATGTTTCTGGATTAAAAAGATTTGCTCCAATTTTAATTCTTATCAAAGTTTCTGAACATTCAGATTCTCTTGCAGAAAATATATAATTTACATCATCACGTGGTGCTAATATCTTTTCTATCCACTGTGAATATTTAGCATCTCCCCCTCCATTCTTTGCGAATATGACCTGAATTGGATAATCATTTGAATCAAATAAATCAATACATTTTGAAATCGTATCCTCATAGGACTTCCTCAATTTCTTATCTGGTTGGAATGATAAAACAATAAGTGTGTTGATTTCACTATCTGTTAGAACACAACGTACGCCCCTATCATCTGAAACGTATTGTTCTAGTATCTTCATTGTATTAACTATTTCTTTTCCTGGGTTTATTTCTTCTTGTGTAAAACTCACTTTAGTTCCGTTTGCATGATCTTTTTTATAAACTAATTCATTCATTTGTCCATCAACAAGTGATTTTCTATATATTTTATAATTAACTGTTACACTTTCTTCATTTTCCCATGTAATAGTTATTGGTGTGTTTAAATATTCTTTTGATAATGGTGTAGCATTCAATGACCCAATTGAAATTGCTGATCTTGCTTCTGTAAATTGTGCATGTGGACATTTTAAGGCACAGTGTTTCTTTCCAAATTCACGAATAATATTA